ACTTTTATAGGACTATGACCATTGATTCTCCACTACCATCAATAGCGGACACTCTACCACAAAAAAATTTTTTAATGTGGTGGCACGTCAGCCAAGCCATATAGTGCTATTTTTTCACGTGGTAGTAAACATATAGTAGGCGCACGCATTTTAACTAACTTACTACCTTTTTCGCGGACTAAGACCAGGGATGTGGACAGGATCAGACGCCCACAGGTGTACAAACCAGCTAAAACTGCGAGAATCCTGCTGATTTTTTTAAACTCTGGACACGTGCGGCGATCTGGTCCCGCCCACCTCACTGGTCTTAGTCCGCGAAAAAGGTAGTAAGTTAGTTAAAATGCGTGCGCCTACTATATGTTTACTACCACGTGAAAAAATAGCACTATATGGCTTGGCTGACGTGCCACCACATTAAAAAATTTTTTGTGGTAGAGTGTCCGCTATTGATGGTAGTGGAGAATCAATGGTCATAGTCCTATAAAAGTGTGTAAATGCACAAAAACAAGTGTGGGCAGGTGTGTGACGTAAGATCAGACAAAAAGACCACCTGATCATTAGCTGATGTCATACTACATAGTTATGGCGCCGTGACGTCGTCTATCACCATTTCGAGTGATGTTTGACGGATGTGTAATTTTAGCGCTCATTGTTCAGCCAAGAATAGATTCCCTAGCAACAAATGTGTTTCGTCATTACGGTAGGAGCAAGTCATGGATACCAACCAAGCAGTGAGCTAGAATAGAGCCATTTGGAAGATGTCGGGTAGGATCGATGCGAAGTATACATAGTATGTCAGAAATTATTGTCTGAACGACACGACATGGTGCTGTATCTCGTCAGAAAATGGGTTTGCGTTGGGAGTAAATGGAAAATATCTAGCAAAAATATCGAGAAATTGGCTATCAGTAGTAAAAAAAGGAAATTAATCAATTTTCTAAAATTCTATGCTTTGAAACTGTTCCTAAATGATTCGTACCGACAGAGCGGCTTTTCTTGGCAGAGCTTCGCCAGCTTCCCTAGCGTCAGCCCGTTGTGCGCGTGCGAATGGTGTAAAAGCTTATTGGTAAGCGGGCAGTTTAATCCAACTAGACACGCATAAGAGAACGACGCGAGCGGAAGCCTTGGGTTTTTGTCACCAAGCTGAACAGCATGTGTAGCCGGTACAATAGGGTCATACGGTTATAAAAGGGCGAGATTTAGCGCAGTAACGATTAACGACCATCTTTACTTCAACGTTTCGAACGCACGAATGAACGGGGAACCACAAAAAATTCCCCAAAATTCTATGCTTTCAAACTGTATCTAGATGACTCGTACCGATATATTGTCCCTTGTTGATATAATTCCTCCAGTTTCCCTTGCGTCAGCCCGTTGTGCGTGTGCGAATGGTATAAAAGCTTATTGATAAGCTAACAATTTAACCAAACTAGACATGCATGGGGGAACAACGCGAAAGTCTTGGGCTTTTGTTATCAAGCTGAACCGTATAACAACCAAATTTCGCTCTAAAAATTAAAAAAGAATTTAAAAAAAAAAACGCCGGAATTTAT